TTTATGAACAAGTATTAGTACCTATGAAAGAAGAATATTTAGGCAAAATGCTATCTGTTAAAATCGTACGAACCAGTAAACACTCGATGGAAGGTGAACCAATAAGTGGAGAGGCCTGTTATCCACAACGCGTATCTTTAACATCATTGGTATTTGATAATAAAATATCTAGTGATACAATGAAACTTAAGATAATAATAGGGATCTGTTTTGTCTTGATAGCTAGAATTTTATGGAAATTCCTGATTATGTGAGCTTTGTAAATAGAAAAAAAATATTCTAATCTATTTAATTGTTTTTATTTTTTATTTTTACACAAAAAAAAAGAAATAATAATAAATAAACAATTAATACAATGATAGATGATTAAGGCCGTTCATTAAGCCTCGTTTCACAATGGTTTACTCCATCAATGAGAACAAGCATAATAATAGATCGATTTTAATGAACAAAGTCTCGTTTTAAAGACGAAGGTTTAATCTAGGACATATCCTTTTCGAATTTTTATTTTCTTTAAAAAAAATCGTGTTAAAAAATGGTACTTTTCGAGACTAGTTTATGGACAAATAAAAAGCTTTTTCAAAAATTCAATAAAGATATATCTTAAATGAAACTTTTGTCTTTAAAATGAGATCTTGTTCATAAAAATTGATCAAGAATTACGTTTGTTCACATAGTTGGCATAAATCCTATTTTTAATATTTTTCGCATAGAAAAAGTTTTGTACTGTGGTGCTCCTCGAAATTTGCGACAAAAGAGAAACATCCTATCCCCACTACTGATTTCCATATCATTCTTGAATATACGATGTGGAAATAAAATTTTAAATGGGATATATTTGTTCCATGAAGTAGCGATTATATGCTTGTTCGTGTACGATAAAAAGCAAATTTTTATAAATTAATACTTTATAAAATAAATTTTGCAATTATTTAAATAATCTTTAAAATGCACGATATAGAATAAACTAAAATTTAAACAATAATACATTTGCTTAAACATTAAAAAGACGGGAAACTATGAGAAATTTCAAATAATTTTAATATAAAATTTCAATGTTATAATAAATAAAATAAAATAAATTTTTACGCAAAAATACGTAAAAGGATAGAGAGAAGACATAGAAGGTGCGATTAAAAGTTCTATCAGGGACTCCGTTGTATTTTTCGTTCTTCGAAATTCAGGATACACGAATAAGTTGTTTACCTATTGCAGTGAAGTATATATAGCTGATGATGTTAGGACTGTCCTGTTATTCGGGGCTCTGACTCTCCTACAGAGATATAGCGTTGGGAACTAAAATTCTCGATTAGTCCTTAGATTTCAATTTAGAGTCACCATTATTCTAACACTCACGTGAGTATTCGCACAGAGAGACATGATTAGATTATTTCACGAACACGGATTTTAAAATAAAATCACCATTAATCCGTGGATCTCCAGATGCAGCAACTTCCACGTAATGAGACTTAAGTCGATATTACTTGTAAAGCTTAATTGTATATCATATAACGCAACAAGTATTATCAGGCGAATAATTGCATATTAGAAAACTTTTCCAATAAACTTTTCAATCTAATTTCAATTAAACATTAATGTATTTTACATTGGCAATAAGATTATAATCTACAGATAAATAGATAATATATAATTAAATTCAAAATTAATTCCTTCAAATTAACAAATTTATATATTAATTATTATATGTGTCAATTATATTTATTATTATTTATATATTTATCGTGAATTAAATACGTACCAATGTCACGTATCTAGCGGACGGAGATCACTGCACGATGCACGCTATCATCAAAGAAATATTACTATTAACTCGAACTCACACAAAACCAATAGTTATGTACGTGTGAGAGGGGAAATAACCAACACAAGGTTATAAACCGATACGATAGCGCATGATGGGGATAACGTTCCCTCCCCGCTTGTACTTGTAGTTCATATTTTGTCCACACCTGTCGCTGAAGTCACACATGGTACCTTCGAACAAAAGGTAGTTGAATCAGCCTTTAAAGAGACAGCGTTATGAGTTGAATATTCAATTTGTGTAAAAATTATATTTAAACCGAAAATACAGGAACGCACCCTATATGCAAGGGTTTTTACATTTTCAATTGACAAAGGATAATACAGATACACCAAATTCTCCAAATATTCTCGATCGTGCTTCTAATTTAAAGAAGCATAAATCAATGCATTAAAAAATAAGACGTGTTTTTGATCGAGTATAAAAAAAAAAAAAAAAGAAAGAAAATTCTTACAATACATAATAATACGTAACGGAGAGTATATTCAGCATTATTGCATCGGTGTATCGTTTGTTGAACAATCAAATGTATTACAAACTCTTACACGCTAAGCATTAAGATAGTATAAATCGCTAGAAAAATATAATGTTTTGTTTAACTAACTGCATCGAGACAATGCATTTTATTTGGCATCACCCTTTCATCGCTAAGGATTTTTATAAAGTATCTTACTCTAAAAAGAAAAAGGCATTGGTTTCCCATGGAAGTATCTCCTGAGTATTTTTAATATACA